ACGAGCACCATAGTTGTTAGCAAAATTTTTGGCAGACTCGAAGTTTGGTAGAACTTCTATTTTATCTGGATTGCTTGGAAATCTTGGGTCCTCCTTCAGCTTCGAGATGAAGTTAGTTCCAATATTTCGCCATAACTCGTACACAACTCCATTTTTGGCAGCTAAAAAACAGATTTTTGATAACTTACAACTACAAATACAACCACTGACATTTTTTCCAAAATATTTGCTATGGATGAAGTATGCATGGGTAGTAGTTGGAAATAGTATGGAAATCAATTTCCATGCCAAATGCAATCTGGTGAAGAAATTATATGAAAATACTTTGGATTTAGAAAGAACCAAAAAAAGATACTGTATAAGATGCCTACTCTACATTATAAGGAGTTCTTTTAATCTAAACGTACTTAAGTGTTCTGCTAATACCCTTTAAACCGACCTCAATCAATGGTGGCAAAAGATTGTCATGCAAAAACTGCGTATCCTCATGCAACATACCTGCTGGTTGCCCAGAAGGTTCGTTGTCAACAGTGGGTTGGTTTGTATCATCAGCACTGGTACCTGAAGTTGTTCCCGAAGTGGTGGAAGTACCAGATGTTTCTGGAGCTCCCGGGGGTACTACATAAAAAACAACATGACTAGGTGTATTTATTTAACTAGGAAACATTGTTGTGGAAACATTTGTGATTGTTTGCATGCGAAGAGAAAAGCAACTCAGACAATGATATTTCTTCCGGCTATAGGCGTAAAAAATACCTGTGGTTCCTGTTCCCGACCGACCCTATTTTTTTCTGCCGACCCTATTACTATTTCAACGCGATTGACAGTGCGACCCTAATTTCTCCAGGTGGTTGCGGGCTGCTCATACAGCGTGCCAAAATGGAGTCTGTTGTCACACTAATTATTGAACCAAATTGCCAACATTCGTCCATAGGAAATACGCATCTCAAGTTAATATTGATAGCGAGACTCTACTGCAAATCGCCCAGCAAAAACCGCCAAGCCCATGAAAAAATATTCAAAAAAAAACTTATTTCCGACCTACCGACCCTAATTTTTTCACGATATGAAACCGGAACCACAGGTATTTTTTTTACTCCATATGCATTTCAATCTCATGGAGGATTGTGAAATTATCCAGCGTTATTTCATTTTAATTCTGAATATTACTACACATGAGCATTTTGTTACAAAGTGTAAATTCGTTTTTTATACACATAGTAGTACTCTCACCAGGTGACAGGAAAATGTTCTTGGTAATAGGTCTGTCAAACTTGCCATCAGGATAACGAACGCCAATACTGAGATGATCGCCACCACCACCTTCTTTCATCAGTGCCTTTATGTAGTAAGATTTTGCAGCCACAAGCCATACCTTCTCAGTAACTTGGGCGTTTGAATATCTGAAAAAAAGTAAAGGTATTATGATATATATACCAACCCCCCCCCCCTCCCCATAAATAATGACCACTCCCTTTAAGTAGCAGTTTAAAGGAGGGGTAGAAACGCTTCTAGTGGGGTGCGAATAGCACCACTGAGCGAGCTTTTTCCCGGTGTTAATTTAGGGCTAAGGCGTAACTTGGTAACTTGGGCGTTTGGATATCTGAAAAAGGGTAAGGTATTATGATATAGGATGTGACCTAACCAGGGGCATTTGCGAAAAATCTATCGGCTTCGACCCCGTTTACACTAGAGCGAAAGTTTTCGGATTTATCACGAAACCGGAACGTTTTAGTACTAGATTCATGTTGCCATTCACTAGTGTTGTTTTAGCATGGTGTTCTCAATTTAGTTATTGTTCAGTTTTAGTTTAATGCAGTAATTTATGTTTAGTTTTAGTTTAGTTCCAGTTTCAAAAAGGGATTTCTTTTTAGTTTTAGTTTAGATCTAGTTTGAAACAGAAATTTTATTTTAGTTTTAGTTCGAGTTCGAAATAGGAATTTCATTTTAGTTCTGGTTTAGGCCTAGCTAAGCAAACGATTTAGTTTTAGCTTTCAGTGATAGTGGTTCAAATAATTATGTACGAAAATGTTTGTGTAAAGGTCACTACTAGGCCAGAAAAGATCAAATATCATATATTCAAAATCAGCAACTGTTTATTTCGAATTCAAAATCATGCTGGTCATATTCAACAAATTTTCTCCCAGTACCGCAGGCTCACATTTCAGCGGACTTGTTCTGAAAAATTGAAATTGTCCCATTTTCTGTAAGATGTCCGCTGACAATACGAGCCCGCACAAGTGGGAAAAATTTTGCTAAATTTGACCAACGAGAATTGCTTTGTTTACCTATTCAAGTGATCGAAGTGAATAATGCACTGGCAGCCTGGCAGGACTATACAAACTAAGACAGCGTTATTTATCATAATTATAAACAATAATTAAACATACAATCTGTTGACTAATTTAAATTCTGTCGTTTAGTTTTAAATGTTGATGGTAATTTTGCTTTTAGTTCGACTAAAAATAAAATAGGGTTTGCATGAGTTTTAGTTCCTGTTGACTAAAACAACACAATAAGCACCCGCCAATCCGATAGTAAATCTTCTCGAGTTCTCGGTTTCGTGCCGTATCCGGAAACTTTGTATCTGGAAAAGTTTGTGGGAACTTCGTATCCGGAAACATATGAATCCGGAGAAAACTCGCGTGTAAACGGGTGTCTGTAAAAGCCGGAACCCCACCCGGAACCCCACCCGGAACACCCGGAACCCTACCCGGAACACCCGGAACCCTACCCGGAACACCCGGAACCCTACCCGGAACACCCGGAACTCCACCCGGAACACGCTGGAATACGAGCTACGAAGCAACGCACGTGTTTCTCTATAAATTCACGTGTTTCGCATTAAATTCGAGGTGATAGATGGTTACGATCTTAACTTTTTACTTGTATTGTTGTTTTTTTCCAAAAAGCGAGTAAGTCTAGTAAAGAAATCCATGAAAAATTTCCCACAAATCCAGTATTGTATATAATAAATACGGATGAACTTTATAATTCCTTACATGGCGCCGTTTCATACAATTGCAAGTCAAATAACTATATGCAAACATATTATTCAAATAATAAAAAAGATAGCAAAGTTAAATATTGGTTATTGTTAAACTAAATTTAGAATAGAGTCACAAGTACATAGTACGGCAGAATATTGAAAGCGAAACTGAAATATAGTACATGCGGCAAAAGCCTCGAGCGAAACTTCGTTTGCATGTTTACAAACAAGCAATACTCATGCATTTGATATTCTGTACCGCCCGACATAATATATTTATCCTTGCCCATGATAAAAATTATTTAAAAAAACAACAATACAAGTAAAAAGTAAAGATCGTAACCGTCTATCACCCCGAATTTAATGCGAAACACGTGAATTTATAGAGAAACACGTGCGTTGCTTCATAGCTCGTATTCCAGCGTGTTCCGGGTGGGGTTCCGCGTGTTCCGGGAGGGGTTCCGGGTAGGGTTCCGGGTGTTCCGGGAGGGGTTCCGGGTAGGGTTCTGGGTGTTCCGGGTGGGGTTCCGGCTTTTACAGACACCCCGTGTAAACGGCTTTCCGTAAAGAATCTGAATCAATTTGTTCCGGTGTATGTTTTTCAAATTTATTCATTATTGCTATTAAATTCAACCGCCATTCGCCAAACAGGGTCAAAACATCGCATATCACTAAAAGGGTTAAAATTATTTACTTCATATTGACCATCACTGTGTCGGGCTGTGTAGTGTAAACGCCTCACGGATCCGTATACTTGTAAAACAAGGAATCCGGATACTTTCACAAATCCAGAACATTTCGCTCTAACATGATATGATAATTTTGTTTAGAAATAAAAAGACTTCTCAGGTATTTGTGCAAACAGAGGGGGATTGATAAATTCATTTGTCAAAAAAGGGGCGGGGGTTATCAGAGTGGGGTGTTTATTTAAAGAGGGCCTAATAGAGTGATTACAGTAATTTCAAAATATATAATATTGCCATGGCCCATGATAATATAAAGCAACATCACTAAAATGTAATAATATTTTAATCACATTTTCTTACACAATAAACAGTCCAATATTAAAACATTTCTAACCAAAAACAACAGATAATTACAAAATGATCTCAGTTCATAAATACACCCCTGAATTAACAAACCAATCAGTATCGAAATATCATTTTCAGTATCTAACAGTTTATACTGTACTTAAAGGGGCCCTACAGTAATTTTTTAGTCAAGGAAGTATTGTTTACATTTTTTGTTATTGTCGCTATACTTGACATGCTCACCACAGCACGCATCCGTTTTCTGGTGTGCGGAAGTATTTATACTCAAGGATACTGCATGTAAGATACAGCCAAACGAATCTCCGTGGAGTCCCCTACTTAAAGTGGCTTTTCGACTAAAAAATTACTGTTGGGCCCCTTTAAGATGTTCAAAAACAATCTCAAAGCAAGTTAATCAATTTCAAACAATGCCAAATGAATTTCAAGAAATATTTGAAAACAACATTCATTAGGCCTAAAAGAAAATATCTGTGGTTCCGGTTTCATATCGTGAAAATATTAGGGTCGGTAGGTCGGAAATCTTTTTTAAATATTTTTTTCATGGTTTTGGCAGTTTTTGCTGGGCGATTTGCAGTGGAGCCTCGACATCAATATTAACTAGAGATGCGTATTTCCTATGGACGAATTTAGACAGTTTGGTTCAATAATTAGTGTGGCAACAGACGCCATTTTGGTACACTGTGTGAGCAGCCTGCAACCACTGGGAGAAAATAGGGTCGCACGGTCAATCGCGTTAAAAAAGTAATAGGGTTGGCAGAAAAAAATAGGGTCGGTCGGGAACCGGAACCACAGGTATTTTTTTTAGGCATTAGCAAAGTATCAACATCATTTTCAATTTTGATACTATATTTAACAACCCAAAACAAGTTAATCAATTTCAAGCAATGCCAAATTAATTTCAAGAAAAATTTCAACACAACAATCAACATATCACTCAAAATATTTTCAATTTATCTTGCCTAGTGGGGCAGCACATTATCATGCACAGTCATATGATCTTCAAGTTCAGGGGCAATTTCAAACTCGGCATCACAGACACAACAGATATAACCAATACCAGTTGCGTTACTTGCTTCCAACTCCTTACAGACATCACATTGGTAGGACGCACCATGGTCTCTGGCCTTGTGTTGATATACACTTTGAATATCAGGGAACTGTTTGTTGCATTCATCACAAATATTTTGATCATCACTTAGTATCTCATTAGCATCTCCTTGTCCTTGAATAACTTCTTTGCCACAGGTGTGGCACAATAATAAGCCATCTCTCAAGTGTGATCTCCAGTGATGTTTGAGACTTGGTCGTTGTGTGAATGACTTCTTGCAGATACCACACTCAAAACTCTGGCTTCTCTTGTGTGCTGATATTTTATGTTGTGTTAACTTGTGCGATTCTGGAAATCTCTTGTTGCAAAGGTCACAATTGTAAGGCTTGTCTCTAGTATGTGTACTTTTATGTGTGACCAAATAGCTTGATTTTGAAAATCTTGTGTTGCAAACATCACATTTGTGACGTTTCTCTCTAGTGTGTGTTCTTTTATGTGTAACTAAGCTAGTTGACTGTGAAAATCGTTTGTTGCAAACATCACATTCATAAGGTTTGTCTCCAGTGTGTGTTCTTTTATGTACACTTAATTCACCTGACCGCAAAAATCTTTTGTTGCAAACATCACATTCATAAGGTTTCTCTCCAGTATGTGTTCTCTTATGAACCGCTAAATTGCTTGAATGCGAAAATCTTTTGTTGCAAACATCACATTCATAAGGTTTGTCTCCAGTGTGTGTTCTTTTATGTGTAACTAAGGTGCTCAACTGTGAAAATCGTTTGTTGCAAACATCACATTCATATGGTTTGTCTCCAGTGTGTGTTCGTTTGTGGGTAGCTAAGTTGCCTGACTGCATAAATCTTTTGTTGCAAACATCACATTCATAAGGTTTGTCGCTAGTGTGTGTTCTTTTATGTGTAACTAAGTGGCTTGACTTTGAAAATGTTTTGTTGCAAACATCGCATTTATAAGGTTTCTCTTCAGTGTGTGTTCTCTTATGTCTCACCAAATTACCTTCCTTTGAAAATACCTTGTTACAAACCTCGCATTTCCAAGACATGATTTCAGCTTCTGCTCTTTTCTCCATGCGCTCACACGTGTGGTCGAATTTCGATAAAAATATCACCCAACCGATCCCCCGAGTCTTTTCTTAATATTGAATCGTTATAATATTCGCTTCTTACAGAATTTCTGATCATAAAAATGAGAATATTCAAAGCACACAGTTTACAAACGACACCAAAATGAAAATATGGCGCCCAAAAAGAATTCATATCGTGTTTCCACTTCACAAAAACAAATTTTTGATTATGTGCCAGATTTGGCAATAGAAGGCCGTATAATTCTTTTCTATTCGGGCACTACTTTTACATTTACATGAATCTATAGATTTTTATACGCTGAGTACGACCTAACATCAACATTGTCGACATTCTTTATTAAAATTTCCGCCATTCTGTTCATGAAACTTCATGTTATATACAGTTATTGTACTAGTTCAAGGTATTACGCGTTTTTTACATGCAGACCTGCCAAGTCTCACGACTTAATCGTGAGATTCACGATTTTTGATGCTTTCTCACGATCTCACGATTAAGTCCCCAAATGGCAAATCTCACTGTTTTCGGAACTTATAAAATCATCGAAGAATAATGCGCAATGTACAACCATAGTCTTTCGAGACATGGTTTGGAAACTCAGTAAACTTCAAAGCAGTTATAATGAGCTGTGTGTTTATGTTGAGCCGTACCTTACACCTTGTTTTAGGTTTATTAATATTTAAATAGCATGGTTGAATGACTGAATTGAAACGTTGCTATTGGATGATTCGTTCATTATACTGAAATACAATGTCAATGTGTCATTGACCGTGTGCACAAAACTGCATAAACGCGAACAAAAAGATAGAACAAAGACTTTACCGGAGTTTCCAAACCATGTTTTGAAAGACTATGTTTACGGTTATATTAACAAAATTTAAATGCATACCATCATAAGTTTGAATATCTATTGATTATTTTCTAGTGCAATAAAGAGGGGGGGCGGGGGATTCGATTTCACGAGTCACGAAAAACAAAATTTCATTTTCACGATTTTTAGAAACACAGAAGCGTAACAAAGTCTGAAACCATTTAACGATTTTCTAGACAGTAGAAATCGTTGTAACACAAACACATTTTACTGACTTTAACATTAGAGCCGTTTAAACGACTATGAAAATCATGGCGAGGCATTACAAAACATTACGAGACACAAAGCAACCTCAAGAAACGAAGAAACGTCAAGAAAGACAACCGCGGGAAGCAAATTTATTTATTTTCCCCACATAATATTAAATTTGGGCCGAGTTTTAAACGTAAACATTCACAAGTTAGGGTAAAATATTGGTAAATTCAAGAACCTAGCTAGCGTTTTAGCTCTTCGCGATTCACGGCGCGCATATTAATCACGATTCACGGAATGGTATTTCTTTAAATCACGAATCACGAAACACGAATAATTGCTAATCACGAGTCACGAAAATACCTTGCCCCTCAATAAAGTTAACCCTGGTCATATTAATGAGCAAACCTGAAAATTTCGCACGATTTTTCATTCAATCTCACGACTTTTTAGATAGCAACTCACTATTTCTGCTACTCTAGGGTTGACAGGTCTGTACATTTTTATCATTTTTTTGAGGAAAATTACAGAAATAAATAAAAAATATATAGATATGTTTCCACAATATTAAAATGCGAAAGGTACTGTTACATGTTTGCAAATAATCAGGAACTAATCTACTACTCTTTATTGCACCAACTTTTGGGTTTTTTGCCTCACCTTCATGTGACATTGGGCTATTCCGATTATTATCTGCCCACCTGTTGAGGAACCCCCTTTACCACGCGTTTTTTACATGCAGACCTGCCAAGTCTCACGACTTAATCGTGAGATTCACGATTTTTGATGCTTTCTCACGATCTCACGATTAAGTCCCCAAATGGCAAATCTCACTATTTTCGGAACTTATAAAATCATCGAAGAATAATGCGCAATGTACAACCATAGTCTTTCGAGACATGGTTTGGAAACTCAGTAAACTTCAAAGCAGTTATAATGAGCTGTGTGTTTATGTTGAGCCGTACCTTACACCTTGTTTTAGGTTTATTAATATTTAAATAGCATGGTTGAATGACTGAATTGAAACGTTGCTATTGGATGATTCGTTCATTATACTGAAATACAATGTCAATGTGTCATTGACCGTGCACAAAACTGCATAAACGCGAACAAAAAGATAGAACAAAGACTTTACCGGAGTTTCCAAACCATGTTTTGAAAGACTATGTTTACGGTTATATTAACAAAATTTAAATGCATACCATCATAAGTTTGAATATCTATTGATTATTTTCTAGTGCAATAAAGAGGGGGGGCGGGGGATTCGATTTCACGAGTCACGAAAAACAAAATTTCATTTTCACGATTTTTAGAAACACAGAAGCGTAACAAAGTCTGAAACCATTTAACGATTTTCTAGACAGTAGAAATCGTTGTAACACAAACACATTTTACTGACTTTAACATTAGAGCCGTTTAAACGACTATGAAAATCATGGCGAGGCATTACAAAACATTACGAGACACAAAGCAACCTCAAGAAACGAAGAAACTTCAAGAAAGACAACCGCGGGAAGCAAATTTATTTATTTTCCCCACATAATATTAAATTTGGGCCGAGTTTTAAACGTAAACATTCACAAGTTAGGGTAAAATATTGGTAAATTCAAGAACCTAGCTAGCGTTTTAGCTCTTCGCGATTCACGGCGCGCATATTAATCACGATTCACGGAATGGTATTTCTTTAAATCACGAATCACGAAACACGAATAATTGCTAATCACGAGTCACGAAAACCCCCCCCCCCCCCTCAATAAAGTTAACCCTGGTCATATTAATGAGCAAACCTAAAAATTTCGCACGATTTTTCATTCAATCTCACGACTTTTTAGATAGCAACTCACTATTTCTGCTACTCTAGGGTTGACAGGTCTGTACATTTTTATCATTTTTTTGAGGAAAATTACAGAAATAAATAAAAAATATATAGATATGTTTCCACAATATTAAAATGCGAAAGGTACTGTTACATGTTTGCAAATAATCAGGAACTAATCTACTACTCTTTATTGCACCAACTTTTGGGTTTTTTGCCTCACCTTCATGTGACATTGGGCTATTCCGATTATTATCTGCCCACCTGTTGAGGAACCCCCTTTACCACGTCGGTACTCATTCTCGTACCCAGAACCCTTCTTACGCGCGGTCAATGGAGCGCGACGAGAGGCTCTGGCCAAATCCATATCAAACTGGCATCTCATTGGCTACAACAAAGGTTATTGTTCTAATACCGGATATATTCTTTTACCATGTTTTTATGGCATCCGGTTTTGGATTTGGCCAGTGCCCCTCGTCGCACCTCGCTTAATTAAAGGGGCCCTACAGTCATTTTCTAGGCAAGTAAATATTGTTTACATTTTTTGTTATTATCGCTACTTGACATGCGCACCACGGCATGCATGCATCTTCCGGTATGCGGAAGTACTCGTACTCATGGATACTGCATGTAAGATACAGCCAAACGAATCTCTGTGGATTCCCCTACTTAAGGTAGCTTTTCAAGTAAAAATGACTGTAGGGCCCTTTTTTAAAGAAGGGCTCTGGGTACGAGAATGGTCGGTACTCCACTGGAATTTCCGCAAATTTTCATGTAAAATTTACCCCTTCCCATGGAATTTCCTTGTAAAACGTACCCTTTCCCATGGAATTTCCATCATGAGACATTTACTCCCGGAAATTTCGTAATTCCTACTAACATATGTCCTCCCATGGAATTTCCATCCCATAAAATTTAACTCTCCCTCTGGAAATTCCATGTGAGACTCACTTCTCCCCTTGGAATTCCAGAGCCTGGATACTCCCTTCCCAGGAAATTCCAGGGTTAATGCACTCCCTCCCCGGGAAATTCCAAGGTTAATATACCCCCTCCCCTGGAAATGTGAAAGTTAATGCACCTCTCCCCTTGAAATTCCAATGTTAATGCACCCTCTCCCCTGGAAATTCCAAGGTTCCTCAACAGGGGGGTGCGGATAATAATTGGAATAGCCCATTGCAAAGACGGTCACTATATCGGTATATCCACAAAGACTACTCACTTGACTTGTCCTTTGTATTAAAAAGACTACATTGTTTATTTTATTTATTACTGTACATAATTTTAGTCTTACAATGTGAATAGGCAATATTTCTTTGACATTTTTGTCAACAATGAATAAGGAGCACAGCATATTTGTTGTTTTAAAATGTTAGACCTACTGTAGACCAGTCAGGGCCGCCGAGAGCTTGGCGGAGGCCGGGGGCAAAAGTTTTTTTAGGGGCCCTTATTGCAAAAAAATGTTCCGGAAAAAATTTTTCGGGCAATAATTTCTTTTTAGGTAAAAAAAAATTTTCAGGACAAGTGCGTTGTAATTGCTTTCGTGGGACTTTTCCGCAATTTTCCATACCAAATTTCGGTACTTTGCCCCCAAAACACAAATATTTCGGCCCGAAAACAGAAATATTTCGCCCGAAAAAATGACTGGGGCCCAACATTAAATTTTTACGGTCTGCATGTTATATTTCATCCTGTTTTCAAACTAGTGTAATTTCAATTTAGTTAGTTAGTTAGTTAGTCAGTTTTATTTGGATGTATAAGTATGTATGTGTATGTGTATGTGTGTGTATATGAGTATTGATATGTACTTTCTTGTAAAATACTCTTCAGACTGACCGACCGACCGACCGACCGATAAGTGTGAATTTTCGCCACCATCGAAATGGTGTATAGTGAAACTTTACACTAAAAACAGAAAAAGGTTATGCAAGTAGATACAAGCAAATATAGCAAGCACAGTCGAGAAATGCGACATGAAAATGAAGGGTCCATCCTCAGCTTTACTGTTTTTAGCAATGGTTATTGAAAATGTGTCCGTTATTAGTCTCATCAATGTCATCATCCCTCATCTACATGTATGATTACATTGATTGCGCGTTAATAAGATTTAGAAGCAGCTATAGTTTTTATGTTTAGACTACATGAGTTTGTATTCCTCGATGTTAACACGTTCTTTGAAAATATCGCTATTTATTATCCACTTCCAAATCATGACTACTTTGGGCAGTATCAGAAAAAAGAAGGCGGGGGAACTGGAAAATGGGATGAGACACGGCAGGATAACGGGATTTTATGTGAAAATTGGTCAGGATGGCGGGATTTCGGAACCCGGTGCAAGCCCTTCTAAGATGGCCAATGCACCATAAACTAGCATTACTTTAGCATTTATACATGAATTTGTGCTCACAGATATGATGTAATTAAGAGGCAATTTTTTTCAATGTCACCTATTTGCAATGAAAAGTGTTCAAAACCTAAAATCTTTTTGGCGTTCCTCTCAAAATTACTTTGTTTTAGCTTTATTCTTTAGTTTATAGAGTTAGCAACCTTTTTAAATGTATCTGCCGGTTGAGAAACATAAAATAATAGTTAAAAATTGTCAATTAAAATACAATTATCATCGATGCTTTAAAATTAACGCCATATTTACAGCCATATATGCAAAATTTACTGAACTTCAGACATCATTTTCTCTTTGGCGTGTCATCTAAAATCTCGTCATTTTAGCATTATTTTACAGATAAAGCACTAAACACACTTTTTAAGTTTGTTTGCCAATTGAGAAGCGTATCGAAAAATAGAAGTTTTGAATCTAGTCATAACCTCAAATGGTATATTATATGCATTAGTTTTGAGCGCTTGTTACGTGACATACAAAAAAATCTCCTCTTAACCACACACGATGTAAAACAAGAATTTATTATTTAATAGTGACATTCCACATACTTGTTCCACTGTTGATAGCCAGTGTGACCAGTTCTCTTCATCTCCTTCAATTCAGCCAACTTACGAGAATTTCCCTTGTCTTCATCAGTACTTAACCACAGTTCACTTTCGTCATCGCTTGCAAGGTAGAATATATAGTCGCCACTTACTGGAGCCTATATAGAGATAAAGGGAGAAGGTGCTTGTCATTTTTCCTTGCAGCCAAAAGCTGAATACACCTTCTCGAAAGTTACGTCACAACTACACTGTTTCCAACTTAGGAGCACCTTAAATGGAAAGGATTTCAAGTTCTTTTTCCGAAGGGCTATGCACAGAGAAGCAGAACATCCTTCTTCAGCACATGCATGAAAAAGAATTCTTAATTTTGACTAATAAATATGGAAATAAGCGTTAACACTAAAACAAAACTCCAGGTCATGCTAATGATCATTCGTTTTCGTGTTAATGCTTATTTCCATATTTATTGATCAAAATCCAACTTTTTTTCGCGCATGTGTTGAAGAAGGCTGTTCTGCTTCTCTGTGCATGGCCCATGAGAAAAAAAACTTGAAATCCTTTCCATTAAGGTGGTCCTAAGTCAAAAACAGTGTAGTTTTGACGTAATTATCGAAAGGGTGTATTGCAAAGGACACATACATCTCTTGCTGCCACAATATGACCAATGTCTGATCCCTGGGCGCAGCTAACACGGAAGAGTTAGTTATATTACAGTCAATTTCAGCTGACTTTTCATCGTAAGATTCCGAACTTCGTTCCGAACGTCGCAAATTGGTTGCCAAGTTCAAAAGTTCATAATGAATTCACAAACAGGTTTGTAAACTGGGCATTTGATTGGCTGGTTTGATTTAATAGCCAATCAGAGGCTTTGTTTACAAACCTGTTTGTGAATTTCATTATGAACTTTTGAACTTGGCAACGAATTTGCAAAGTTCGGAACGAAGTTCGGAATCTTACGATGAAAAGTCAGCTGAAATTGACTGTAACAGTGAGGGTCGGAAACAAAACTACTCTAAGAAAACCTTAAAAGGAAATGGCAATACATTTTTTATTTTGTCATTTGGAAGAACTTTTAAGTACTATTTAAAACATGAGCAGCTGTGTTTTATCAGATATAAAGATACGAGGCGAAGCCGAGTATCTTTAGGTATGATAAAACACGCACTGCGAATGTTTTAAATCGCTTCAAAAATTATGATCGACCTTGTCAGTTCATTGGCGAAGTAATTTTCAAAAAATAAGTTGTGTAAGTCGAGAAAATCAAAGTTAAAGTTTATGTAAATCAAGGGAAGTCTCTATCACATACAAAGATACGACACGCTTGTGATTTTTCTTTGTGTTTTCCTCATGAATAATTATAATGAGCTTTGAAGACTATATATAATATCCTTTTACCGTTTTTTCATATCTGGCTTACTAATATAAATATTTTGATCGAAAGGAATGAAATGACCGCCATCTTCAAATTTTGTAGATGTGCATGTCACGTCACAACAGGGGGGTAACCCAATATTTGATCTAGACAACCACTTATCATTTTGCACTCAAAACTACACTCTGTCTGCCCTTCGAAATACCAATCAATATTTAGTCAGCAACGAATACTTTTATATGGTTAATCCCTGTTGTGACGTCACCAAAAATACCGTTGAGATCGAAAATTTATCCAAGATGGCGGACATCTCATTACTTCAAGTGAAAATATTTCAAGAACTAAGCAAGATAAGAAAAATCGGTAAAAAAAGTTAAGATATAGTTCCAAAAGTTCTTTCAAATGAGAAAATAAAAATCCATATTGGCATTTCACTTCAAAAGCACAGAAGAGCACCAGTCACATCAGGTCAGATCAGATTAACTCAGCAGCAAAGGACACCACATCATTCAATCGCATTCAGTACCTGTGCTCCCGTTCAATAAACATCCACTAATTGTGGTAATCAATGTATTTTTGTATCAAACACATATGGGTAATTCCATGGTGCTGGTGACAATTTTTGAAACAAAAGTTGTCAAGAATTTTCAGAAGCTATATTGGAAACAATTGTGAACTGAAATATTAAGATGTACTTTATATGTAACATGAGTCACGTAACATGAGTCACGTGTATTATGTAGCCATCCTTGCTATTGCAATCCAAAATATAAAATTTCTTTTTGTTCGTTCTAATTGCCTAACATAATAGTATGCTACTTGACAGACATTGTATGTTTCTCCTTCCTATGGTTCCCGAAATTCAAAAGTAGTTGGGTTGGTGTACCTCACGTCACTTTGTCGTAAAATGAGTCACACACCAATTTATGGCCACCAATCTTATCATATTATAATCAAAAGTTTAATTTTTACTGTGAATCAAATAGCTTACCATTATTTGTACCTGCATGCAAAAATGTGATAAAAAAATATATCAGTTATTACACCAGATCAAAATTACTCTGACAATTTGGATCAAAATGTAACACGAGTCACCATGGAATTCCCCATATTCCTAAATATGCGTCTGACTGAATATAGGCACTGTACAATGCACCGGCCCTTTCGATAATTACGTCACAACTACACTGTTTTCAACTTAGGACCACCTTTAATGGACAGGATTTCAAGGGTTTTTTTTCTCATGGGCTATGCACAGAGAAGCAGAACATCCTACTTCAATACATGCATGAAAAAGAATGCTTTATTTTGAGCAATAAATATGGAAATAAGCATTAACGCGAAAACGAGGCTCCAAGTCATAACCTGGAGCCTCGTTTTCGTGTTAATGCTTATTTCCATATTTATTGATCAAAATCCAAACTTTTTTCGCGCATGTGATGAAGAAGGATGTTCTGCTTCTCTATGCATAGCCCATTAGAAAAAACTTGAAATCCTTTCCATTTAAGGTGGTCCTAAGTTGAAAACAGTGTAGTTGTGACGTAATTATCGAAAGGGTGTATTAATTTGGTTTATGTTAGAAGATAAAAAGCTTTTTAAAAAGGACTTTAAAAAGTGCCACAGGCCTCAAACATAACTTATTTTATGTTACCATTTGAGTCGAAAAAACATCTCTGCAACAAATCAGCTCGACTTTTTCCCTGTAAAATTTGCCGAATATGAACTCATTAGATGAATTTGAGCAGTATAAAAGAAACCAGAGAAGAAGTACTTTATAATTCATCTACTATAACATCATATCCTGCAACTACTACAGCAAAAAATCAATAAAAAAGAGCTTTTTCTAACCGATCTACTACATTTTCTTCCTAGAATGACACATGCCCAAAAATATTTTGAGTTAGTCAAACACATAAAGAGCACGTTTAAGAAAACAACTTGCATACCCTAAAGAATCCAGAAACTCTAGCGCCATAGTTATCAAGACGGTCCTTCCCAATATCAAATGTCTTCAATGTTGCTATATAATCAGGTTTGTTGGGGAAACGATCATCAGCTTGGAGATTGGATAATCTGTTTCCTTTGATGTTCTTCCATGTTTCCATGCGTAGGCCTGGCTCAACTTTTTCATTTTCCATTAACGGTGTTTCATCTTTTACTGAAATACAAAGTTGGAAATTACCAGAAAGTTAAAGGGATATGGTAATATAAATTAAGTTTGTCTTATTTGAAAGAAGATTTAAAATGATAAACTTCTGTACAATTTTTCCGTATCTTGTTGGTTTTCGAAATAAATCGACTTATTTTGATCAAAAGCAGCGTGCATTCCGCCATCTTGGATATGCATTCGATATGCATTAGTCACAATTAGGGTAAAAAGCGAAATTTTTATCTTTCAAACCACATGTCATGATCAATATGAAACTCGATTTTCCGAAGTCTTTTTAGTACTCAATTAACTCACAACATTTTAAGAAACATTTCGAGAAGAAACTTAGTCCCACATGAAGTAGTTTTAACAAGTTTACCCTGCTTGTGACGTCACCAAAAACTCAGTTAATTAGGTCAATTATAATACCAAGATGGCGGACTGCACACTGTTTTTGGCCAAAATATTTCGAAAACCAAGCAAGATACGAAAAAGTTGTAAAGGGTCTTCATATATAACTTTAAAAATTCTCTCAAAAAGACAAAGTTAATTTTTATTGTCATATCCCTTTAATGTGTTCACTTACACATACAGTACCGCACAGAATCTGAAAACTCATAAGTTATAACACGCCATCAGTCTAACAAATAGATAAGATTTTGCCGTTGTCTGTTCAATTATACACACACGGTATGACGTCATAATGTGGGAAGAACAAAAAAGTGTCCACGAGCTACCGAGACGAGCGGGTCACTTTTTTGTCCTTCCCATATTATAATAATAATTTATTAACTTCTAGTGCCCCTGTTACATGGGAAGATGCTCACAGGCGCATTACAAAGAAAAACCAATCACATGGTTTACATTTTAAAATTTTGAGAATATTTACATCAATTTGGAAGTACTAATTAAGTATAATAAATATAAAATTACAAATAAGATACAAGTATAACAATCATCTCTTTATAAAATGGTGACAACTTAACAACTATATGCCTGAGTTGAAGAGGTATGTTTTTAGGAGACATTTAAAACTGTCAACATTCGAAATATTCCGCAGAGCATTTGGAAGATTATTCCATAGCTTTGGTGCCGCAACAGTAAAAGAGCGGTCACCCAGCGTAGCTTTGCTTTTTACTTTCTATTGTAAAAGATTGTTCTAGTAGATTCATATCTTTGGATGATCTAAGATTATATCTGGAGTTATTAATCTTTAATTCTAAGAGTTCTGAAATATATTCTGAAATATATTCTGGAAAATTCTCCAAACGTCAACTTGACCCAGTCAACTTGACCCAGTGTGACGTAATTCAGTGCGTCTGATCCTCTAATAGATCATGGCTCTCGACCAATAAAAGAATTGAATTCTTAACGTTATTATATAATAAGATATAATGGTCAAGAAACTAAACAGAAGTCATTGTATTATTTTTTATCTGAGTTTATGTTAATTTGTCCACGGTCACGGTGATTGGGCTCATTGTATTTTTGTATCATTAAGTAGCCTCCAATAGGGATGGCGTAGATGAAACGTATAACCACGCAGCATGAGCTCCACCTTTGAATTTACTATATGAGTAAATTCTGAAACACGTCCGAATTTATCATTATGATAAATTCGCGGCACATTATTCGCGCACCTATCATAATGATAAATTCGCGGCAACCCCTAACCTTAACCCTATCTAACTTTTTAAACTTTTTTGAAAATATAACTTTTTAAACTTTTTTTAACATTTTTAAAATTTTTTTTGAAAATCTTGAAAACCTCCCCGCCCATGTGGGACCGGCCTCCCTTTTAGTGCCATTACATTTATACCAAAAAGTCTTGTCTAATGCGTGTGGTTTCATGATTAACTCTATTGATAAATTCAAAATGTGCCGCGAATTTATCATATTGATAAATTTTAACGTGTTTAAGTATTTACTCATATAGTAAATTCAAAGGTGGAGACCATGCACGATGAAGTAATATTCCAAATCCGACTATGAGGCCTGGACTATAGACTTCAAGTCCGCGCAATTTGATCAAAATGCGAGGACTTGAAATCTAGTCCAGTCCGAATTGGAGGATACCAATCATACATCGTTACCAGTCCCATGCTTAAACTGTAGGGAGCCAGCCTAGTCCCTAGGCCTCTTAGTACGCCTATTTCGCGTTTATGCATATTAATGAGGTGACGGCTCCTGACGTCACGGAAATCAAAAGCGTGCACAGAGGACTAGGGGCTAGTCTGGTAGGGAGCCACCTTAAATTAAATCATCAATGAAGTATCACTGAACTGTAACTGTACTTACGCCTTCCAAATAAACCCAGGAGTTCGTTGTTTCGTGTGTAGTATTTGATGCTTTGTTTTTCAAAATCATAAGCAGTCTCTTCATTGTTGAGCGCTTCCTTGCTATAGCAGCGCCATTTTTTCTTATTCCCAGTTTTGTCATAATCACTCAAGGCAAACAACTCTTCTCGGGTATCAATGTTATTTTTACACCATTTGTTCAGCTCGTCTTGTTGTTTTCCTGTTATTTCCAAGCCTGGATAATTAAATACATGTAATAAGTAAGTAAGTGGGTCTAATTCGATTCTTAGGGCACCTGTTTTTATGGAGGCGAGTTACCCGGCAAGGCGAGTCTATTTATTTATTTAGCTTTGCCAACTAGGGCAGGGTCACCACAACAGCATATGCCAATTACTGTGGTCCCTTTTACCTAACCCACCCTGTCAACCTTCTCTGTAGGAGGAAATCGGAGTACCCGGAGAAAATCCACGACTTTTGGCAGAGCGTTGACTTTTACTCTTTTTACACGAGAAATGAGTTCGAGTCACGTCGAGAAAGTTCTCACTGGGACTTGAACCTGCGACCTTAAGCCCGCCGCACACGAGGGCAACTTGCTGAGCTAACCGCCTCGTGAGGCGATTAGCTCAGCAAGTTGCTCCCGTGTGCGGATAGTTTTCGTGAGGATTTAACCTCTCGAGGCCTTGAGGAAAATATCTATCGTGTTTGATAGTTTTCGCCTCGCGAAGAAAAAATCTCAGCGTCTGCGGATGTTGTGAGCTAAGTGCTGAGCTGTTTGAATCAATTAGCCAATGACAAACCATGGTTTCTTCATGTGACTTGGAACAAAATGGAGGAAAATGCAAATGATTTTGTCATTTATGTTGTTGTTGAGTAGTTTTCCCAACGTGTGCGGTGAAAATAGATAGCGGCTGAGCTAGCTGGCACGCGTGGCGGTTAGCTCAGCAAGTTGCTCTCGTGTGCGGCGGGCTTTAGACTGAGGTGAAAGGCAAGTACTTGGCAAGGGCGAAAACCCGGCTATTATACAGGATGTATAAAAAAAAGGTAATCGAACTTCAGCACGCTATTGTATCTGACTTACTTTATGTATGACCGAGATTTTTTCATATTCGTAAAGATCATGCTTTCATCTGTCGAATGATATGTTCTTCATGCGAAATGGATAACAAATGAGCAAATACGAATCCGATAAAAAATGTTAGTCAGAATCGCATATTTTCACCGTTGAGAGTTGGGTCTAAAACCATTGAAAATTAACCCCCTTTAGGACTTAAGCTGATGAATTTAACTTCATTAAACTAATTAAACTACGCACATATTCAGAATTATTATTAAGTAGGAAAAAACCTAGCTAAGCTATGACGAGTTCGTGATTAATTGCTTTTTCTTTTGCCGTCATGTATGCACTGCTTTAATTAGGCACAGAGGTGAAAATATGCGACTAAAAAGATTTATCGCACTTGTACTTGCTTATTTTTTCTCCACTTGCCATGAAAAACATATCATTCAATAGCTAAAACCACATCTTTCCGAATATGAAAAAAGTTTGTTCATATGCCGAGTAATCCACGTAGAATAGCGCGCTGAAGTTCGATTACCATTTTCTTTAAACACACAGTAGAAGTAATGCCGGGTGACTGTTTACAAGATGCAGCCGAGTACGTAACTCGCCTTATATCACACTTGCGTCGGTTTTCTTTGTTCGTCCGAGGTTTATAACTAGCTTATAGACCTTGAATAAATGATTAGATTAAACTTGTAGACAAAACGCGAGAATTTTTCATTAAAAATTTTTGAAAATGACAAAATATGTTGGAAAACCTCCGCAAGTGTGATATAAGTTAGTTATAAACATCGAAAGTCGGTTTATAACTGATATATTGCCCCTCGGACGCTACGCGTCCTCGGGTCAATATATCAGTTATAAACCTCCTACTCGGTTTATAACTCTTTCTTGGGGAATTCCCGGCAGAAAGAGGAGGGATATATCGCTTAGCCCTAGGGGAGATGAATATTTTACCATGTAATAGCATAGTTGCTCGGGTTTCTTTTGTTTCAACAGGGACGTTTAATCACGTATCGCCCGCTGTAGCGGGCGATTAGTTCTAATCGCCCGCTAGAGCGGGCGATTAAAACTAATCGCCCGTTACCAAGGGTCACACCTTTGTCTCCCTGACGACTACGCATTAGGCAAGGTCCTCACGCACATAATCGTGCAAGGAACAGCAACAGTTAGCTCAGAGCCGTCAATAGTCTATCATCCGATCTCTGAGTTGCCGCATCATTTAAATTACGCACGTGCAGTCTCCAAATTTATACTAATATATTTAGCGTGTTTGTTGTGGTACGTTAAATGATAGATTGCGCATGCGTAACCGATTAAAGCGTAAAAAGTGCGCATGTGCAACAAGCTTTTACATCCCACAAGCAATGAAGCAAATGTTTTAGCTTAAATACGCTGATTCCAAGTAGGGCATGTTTGTCCATTTTTAAATGGGAGCGAAACTATGCTATTACAAACTAATAGCATGGCTTTTCGGGAGATTAGTGATTAAATGACCCCTTACCCTCGGCAGGTTTGCGGAATTCCCTCGGCTTCGCCCTCGGGAATTCCGCAAACCTGCCTCGGGTTACGGGGCCATTTAATCACTAATCTCCCTCAAGCCATGCTATTACTTATAATAAACACTTTGCCTGGGTAACTCGACCGGCCGAGACAGAATGTATGTGCTTTGCATTTGAAATATAATAGCTCAAAAATACATACGAATCGATAGATAAGTTTTCCTGAAATTGTCGGCGCTTATTCTTGTATTTTGACGACTTTTTGTAATGTTTTTTTTAACGTTTCAAACGACGTTATTATCATATCTATATTTTGTTGTATTTATCAGGGCAGTTTGAAAATCAGACCTTAAATATTATACTGAAAGTCTACCGTGTATAAATAATTTTAATTAAAGGGAAATGGCAACATAAATTTTTATTTTCACATTTGAAAGAACTTTGGAAACTATATATAAACTTCTTTTGCCGATTTTCCATATCTTGCTTAGTTCTTGAAATATTTTCACGTGAAGTATTAAAATGAGATGTCCGCCATCTTGGATACATTTTTTATCTCATTAACGGTATAAAAGTATTCGTTGCTGACCAAATATTGATTGGTAGATGTTTTAAAGAGTGATCTTGATATTTCAAAGGGCAGACAGAGTATAGTTTTGAGTGCAAAATGATAAGTGGTTGTCTAGATAGTCTACAAAAATCCAAGATGGCGAACATTTCATTCCTTTCGATCAAAATATTTGTCGAAGTAAGCAAGATATGAAAGAACAGTAAAGAGTATTAAATATAGTCTGTTTTAAAAGTTCTTTCAAATAAGAAAATAAAAAAATATATTGCCATTTTCCTTTTTAGATTAAAGATCAAACACTAATCAGCCTTACTTGCAACTGGAAGCTAAGCTGAATTGCGCAAGGACACAGCTCAACCTGATCGAGTCAAAGGCTTTGCAAAGCCCGTTTACACTTGCACTTTTTGCCGCGATTTCTAGAGCGATTTTCGTTTGCTGATGCATGTGAACAAGTAGATGAGTTCTGAATGTTCTGAATATATTTCTCCTCATAAGAACACTCAGGGCTTTTTGGGAAATAACTGTACGAATTTTTCACTATAGCTACTGAACACTCTGTTGTCAGAACAATAGTGCTATACATTAATTGTACAGTATATTCACCTTTGAAAAACGTTCTTGACAGTTTCTTGTCACCACTTTGTTTGTCAAGCCATTTTCCTGCATTAAACATGTAGTTGTCGCCAGTGGTTGAATCAAGAACATTCACCTACGAACAGACCATCAAGATAACAACACTTATTAGTACTATTTGGAACATGAGCGACTGTGTTGCACCATATTGTCCTACAGGGTGTCTAAAAAAACGCCATGGAAATTCAACAGGCTGTCGTGCATCATCAACTTTGCTAAACAATTCAACTTTTACATAGGATGAAAGAACAGTTATTTAGCTTTTCTATGATACATCGTAACGATGACAAATGCCCAAATACTCGTCAAATACAAATTGCCGGTCGAAATCACATTCTTCCACCGTTGGGAATTGCATGGAAAACGAAACATAGACAATTCCCAAGGGGGAATTAAAGTTGAATGTTAAATTATCTAAAATGAGATCAACTCGTCAATCTTCCTTTTTGTGAGACAATAAGAACGTCATTATTGCATTAAGTCAAAGTCAAAATACTTTATTTACTGAGGGTATCATAGAAAATTTAAAAAGAGTATCATAGAAAAGCTAAATAACATCTCTTTAGTCCTATGTAAAAATTGAATTGTTTAGCAAAGTTTGTGATGCACGACAGCCTGTTGAATTTCCATAGCGTTTTTTTAGACACTCTGCATATAATGGGGATGAATGTTCATTCCGGACGACATCCATGCACACTTCCACACAGAGAAAATTGTACTAAGTCAACCCCAGCCTACCCCATTGGACCAATCTCCAACTAACCAAAATTTTGATCTCAACAAGTCTGCTCTTTCGTGCTGTGATGAAATTTTGTCTGTCACAAAATTATATATATATATATATATATATATAGACTCTAATCTTTCAACGAATATGCTTTTACGAACAGGATTAGCAAACACATGCAATTTCTAGCGGAATATTCAGAGGCATCTATTCAGACTACCACAGACTACATTAGACGGTTGTGCCGTTTTTGAAATCAACCCGTATTTTCATATGAACAATACATTGATTAGTGATTTAAGAAATCTTTGAAGAATCATTTAGAGATTCGTTTAGAGTCTCGTTTTGAGGCTCTCGACTAGATTTTCGATCTCGTTTTGAGGCTCTCGACAAAATGATCAAATCATATTTACCTGGGTGATGAACCAGGATTCTTTTCCACCCTTGTTGTCGTGTCTTATTGTGACTGACTTCAAATTACCCAATTCAACATTCACAAATTCGAAAGCAACGGCACTATAGAATATATTTAGAACCACTGAGTATTTTAACAAAATACAGAACAAGTGTAACTCCAAAGATCGCCTTTATTTGGATTTTGGATTTTGTATATATATGTATATATATATACAAAAAAATTAACAAACTAATTAAGTAGTAATTTATTCGCATGAGATGTCATTTCAAATCCTCCAATTCGGACTGGACTAGATTTCAAGTCCTCGCATTTTGATCCAGTCCTCGGCTTCGCCTCGGACTTGATCAAATTGCGCGGACTAGAAATCTAGTCCAGTCCTCATAGTCGGATTTGAAATATTACATATAATACAAAGCAAATGCATACAGAGCAAATGTTATCTCAAAACAAGGGGGATGAGGTTGTAAAAAGTTTTTAAGGGCATTTCAAAATTCTGAAAATTATATGTAAGAAATTCACAGCTTTGATAAAAATCCCCCTCAGGAAACATGGAAAATGGTATTTCGAGGCTTCGGAAACGCAATGTTTTCTAGAGGAGCATGCCCCAAGAACCGTGTTGGTCGAGCCGACGCAAATTTTTTTCGGTAGACAGTCGGACTCCTCATTGATAGTCGGACATTAACAAAATAGGTCAGATGTCATCACCACACAGGATGCTCAGATTTTGCCCTCTCAACCAAGCAATACAATATTTTTAAATCAACAATTGCGCGCGCAAAGACACAGTAGGAATCGCCTCTAATAAGAAGAATATCCGCTGAATGTTTTGTTTAAGGGCGCTGGTCAATGATGCGTCCGACTATCAATGAGGAATCCGACTGTCTGCGGAAAAAGAAATTGTCAAGCCGACGGCATTGCGAGGTTAACACGTTCAGATGAAATAAGCATAAAAAGGGCGACCAAAAACGTGTGCATTACTGAACTTGACATGCATGTGATATATACTACACCTTCCACTCTTGATAGGTGGTATTATTATATTTCCCTGTTTCTTCTTCAGTTCAATCTCCTTGGTATTACCATTTTCTCCACTGAGTATAGCAAAAGCATTTGCCTTCGTTCCTGCGTTGCTCTCGTGACCAGTAAAGATTGTTATGTAGTAGATATGATCTGAAATATTAAAAAGTGCGCTTCTTTGTTACATTGGATTACGGATATCCCGACCTTGTATTTTTATAAAGCAGAAGAAATATAAATGCCGCTTATCAGTTTTGCTGTGTTGGGTTTTTTCATCCGACCATGTTTTAGAAAGTATTGGTATTTATTTTCCCAGCAAGACATCCAGAAGTAGAAAATGTGCGAGAGTAAAGTCAGGCTGACGTGTATAGGCTAAATCCATAGAGATTATAAATAACACTAGAGGAGGCATCGCAATTTTGACATCAGGGAAAAAAGGGAATGCGGCTATTGGGGAGCAAATTTAAGTCCCGGATGTGTGCTCATGCGCCCATTGGCGAGGAGTTTCAAATCAGACAATGAGGGCATGATTTTATATCCGGGATTTGAATTTGCCTCAAATTAGCTGCGTTCCCAATTTTTAACCTCGATGCCTCCTCTAGTGTTATTTATAATCTCTATGGCTAAACATTCAACACGCAAAACATGGCCGAAGGAGGCGATGTTTACTTTGCTGTACTCTTTGGCTTTGGAGCACAGCTATGGTGGAAGGGTCAGGGGCTAATCCTAACCCACCCTGTCAACATTCCTTGTGGGAAGAAACCGGAGCACCCGGAGAAAATCCAACGGCTTGCGGTACAGCGTTGACCGACTCTTCACATAAGTGTCATGAGTTCGTAGCCAGAATCGAACCTACGATCTCAGAGGTGAAATTTACTTGCTCTGACGAATGCGCCACCATAGCCCCTTGCCCACCAGGACTTACTTTGTGGTCCTTGTTGGGGAGTACCCGGAGCTGAAGGAAGTTTTAAGGATTCCGGTGGTGCATCTGCAAGGGGTCTTTGAGACAAAGGGTGTATTATGACTTGTGGTGGAAGATGGGAATGAGGTCTTGAGGTTGGCAGGAGGGATTGATGCTTTGGATATGGTACTGATAACGCTTGGCCACTAGCTATACAAAATACAAAATAGTTTTGTGACAATAGATCTTAAGCCTTGTTTACACTATCAAAGTTTCTGTGGTCACAGTAGGAATCTTGCATCGGTTTTGAAGAATTTGTAAAGATGGTAGAGGTAACTGACTCAAACATTTCTTACAAATGCTTCAAAACTTAGAATTTACCTAGTATGCAAAATTCCTAACTTTGACAGTGTACATCAGGCTTAAAGGCTAGTTTCCACTCCGGAAAATTATCCGTGAATTGGAACGGACAAGAAAGTATTTCTTTGTCTTGTGAGCTCTGGGTTGGAACTAATGACTTTAACACAAAGAAAAGTTTTCTTGTCTGTTCCAATCCACTGATAATTTTCCTGAGTGGAAACTAGCCTTAAGAGATACGAAAGACGTATTTATATCAATTCTGATACTGCAGAGAGCGACAAAGAATTCGTTGTTTCGAACGAGATACGAACACGCATCATTGAGGTATCGAGTCAACGACTTCGAATCCCGCTTGAGATGGCTACTGAAGTTAGGGATACATAAACCAACGCTACCTCCATAAGTTAAAATAGATATTGAGCAAATTCAAAAACTATTGGGGCAGGATCTGCTTGAGTCGTACACCAGTTGGAGGATCCAGTCGTACACAAGTTGAAACATCAGTTCTGACTAGCTGCCACAATTTTACAGCATTGCATATTTCATACATTACCAGGCAATTGAAATTTATTTCCTTGGAAATTAATTTCGGGAGAAAAAAGAATGAAAACAATTTTTCGAATCTGTCTATTGTTATGGCAACAAGTGTCTTGCAAAGGTCCATTATCATTATTCATACATACCTTGATAAGTGTCAGAACTGTGAGAATTGCCATATAAGTGGTTAGAAAATAAATGTTCTGCATCTAGGGTAGGGAACGAATATGTAGTGAAACTCTGGTCGTTTTCAGGAGCCGGTTGTGATTTTAACCTTTATAAAAATACTTGAAAACTTATGAAACCACGAATATGGGATCGCCATGCACAATATATACAGGGTGTATAAAAAGGAGACTTTTAGGATCAATCATTGTTACATTTGAATGCCCGGAGCACTTTCCTAAACCCACGAGTGCGTAACATAACTCATGTACAGGCAGTGGCGGCGCCGGGGGGGGGCAAATGCCCCCCCAAATTATTTTTTGCCCCCCCATTTTGCCCCCCCCTCAAAAAAATTATTAGTCACTAAGAGCGACTAAAGGCTACACAAGCTTTCTGTCGTTATCGGAAAATGTATGGCTTATAAGTTGTCATTACTCATTAGTGAATGCGCATATACATATGAAACTGTTTTTTACAGTTTCAATATTAGTTTGTAAATCTCTGAATGGTAAAACTTGCCAATACTCCAATAACACGTTTCAAAAAAAGACAAAAAAGCTTTAGTTTTGCAGAGTTAAATTCTCAAACGTGTAAGGCAATAATAAGATTAAAGTATCACGAAATTATTTGAATAAACCACATCGCATATATGGGGGGCGAATGTCCTAAAGAGGGACGATATTCCTAGGGTATTCGCCCCACCCCCCTGGGAGGCGATATTCCTAGGAATATCGCCACGTTTTGAGGGGGGGCGAATTTCCTGGGGGGGGGCGACCTTTTCAAAAATTCTATCTTGCCCCCCCCCAAAAATTTGAGTTTGCCCCTCAAATGCCCCCCCAAATTTGGAAGCCTGGCGCCGCCACTGTTTACAGGTATGCATGGCAGATTGTTTAATTAAAAGAGCGTTTGCCAGAATTTGCATAATGATCTAATGTTAGTCAATGTTTACTCATAAATCTGGTCCTTCACCGTCACGTGTGTATTGTACTTTTGGCCAACTAACCAATAGCAATGTTTTAGGAAAGTTGCCTATCCGTGACCCGAACAATAGGGGAAATTGCTATTGGTGTATTTGGCAAAAATACAGAACACACGTGACGGTGAAGGACCAGATTTATGAATAAACGCTGACTAACATAGATAATGATTATATTCTCATTCTAATGAGTTTCACAGCCATCTTGCCTCCGATAGGCTATTATGCTCTAGGCAGTAGATTATTGTTAATTGATCCTCGTGTATTTTGGCAATGTACATTGGCCAATACTACGGGCAACGCACTAGCTGGAAATGGTCGAAGTTCGAAATAGCCATTTCGATATAGCATGGTTCTACTGTACATCGACTAAAAGGTATTACTACATACAAAGCTTTGGAATGATAGGGATACCACTGCTGGTAATACGTATCCAGTAATGCAGAGACTATATTACTGCATACGCCTTCCCTTCTTACCTTTACCTTCCACAGCGAGACCATGTTGACTGTTTTTCGGAAAATTAGTGTTGCTTATGTTGCCTTCACTGTTCATACCAGCTCCAACACCATTCTTAAAATCTGAATTTGTAATTCTCAAATTTCCATTTTGCTTTGGAAATTGCTCGTACTCATTGTTCTCAGTGCTATTTAAAAACAAGCCATAACTCTGAGCCGTGGCAGGACGGGTGTTATAATTTTCTGAATGCAAGCCATAGGTCTTGGTCAATGAGGTATCACTATTATAGGTAGCTGGAGTTAAACTGCTGTCTAAATCACTTGGAAATCTGGTGTAATCTGAAACATTACTGGAGTCTGCTGGCAAAGAAAGTAAAAAAATACAATGGAAATTTAGGCCTGTTTTATAAGTCGAATTTTGGTCGCGTCGAATGCAATTAAGACAATAGATATTGAGATGATAAACCTCATTAAGCTTCATTATCTATTGTTTGAATTGCATTCGACGCGACCGAAATTCGATGTATAAAACACAGGGTTGGTAAATTAGATGAATAATTAGGCCAAATCGTCATTAGTGCCGTAGAAAACAAAAGGCCAAGACAAAGAAAACAAAGGCTTAGTGTGACGGTGTTTGGCCTAATTATTCAGCAAACCTATCCAACCCTGATAAAACAGGCCCTTGTCAACATACTTATGAGTTGCATATGCACTATTATTATTGACTGGAAATTAGCATTAATATTAAAAGAGGAGATTGGATTATTATAAAAACTGTGTTTGTGTCAGTTTTAACAAATTAGGCCGTGGGCTGTTGGCCAAAATTATTTCGCTCCGTGGCATCCATGTGGGAAATACTTGGTTTGGGGTTTATTTGAAAGGCATATATAGGTACATCACTACCAAAAAAAGTTCCCAAGCAAAAAAGTTGCCCAATCCTGAGAAAATGGGTGACAATGATTATCCTCTATTAAATTGTATTACGGCAAAAAAATGGGAAATTCTGTATTCAATTACAATAAAAATGACTTTCATCATCGGAAAACGTACAAAAAACCGCATATAAGACTTTTAAACAGTTTTTTGATTTTTCAAATAGTCTTTAAGTTATTGCTGTTTTAAGTGTGAAAATTGGACCAAAATGTCGCAATAAGGACTGGGTACTAGGTCAAAAACGCGTTTTTGACAGCGTATAACTCGAAAACAATTTTAGATATAAAAAAACTGTTTATAGATGTGTTATATGTAGGTTTTTGTAAGCTTTCTGATAATGCAAGTCATTTTTGTTGTAATTGAATACAAAATTTTACATTTTCTTGCTGTAATACAATTTAATAGAGGATAATCACTGATCACCCATTTTCTCGCTGTTGGGCAAGTTTTTTGCTTGGGAACTTTTTGTGGTAATTAAGAATCTATGGTTCTATGAATTGAACCACAGAAAATCCATTTCCCAGGTGGGTGCCACGAAATTGCTTTTCTTGGCACTTTTTCGCACAACAGCCCACGGCCTAAATTGCTTGGATTATGGATCGATGATGATTTGAAATGAAAAAGGCTGCAAAACGTTTGTTTCTTTCAAAGGTTTTGAAAAGTTATAGACGTTATAGTTAGTTAGACGTTATAGTTAGTTTTTTAAAGTTTTTCCAACTCAAGATTTGAAAGTTCTTTTTTTTCACATATATATCATTAGATCAACACTTGAATACTGTGCCCAGTTATGACATGGCAACTAAACAACGGAACAGTCACATGATCTTGAAAGAATCCAGAAACGAGCTATCCGCGTACAATCTACCCTGAAGTAACTTATCAAGAGGCTTTGTTAACGTGTAATCTTGATACCTTGGAATCTCGTAGGGAAGATATGTGTATCAACCTAATTCAGTCTATGCTTGATGCAAATCATAAACTACACACTTTATTACCCAACAAAGTAGAGGACGTTAGGGATAGAACCAGTAGATCGAACGGGGACAGATTGTATAATTTTAGTAGAATTAATGTGTATAGATTTAATCAAACTTTATCTCTTAGTAGTAAGTATCTTATTGGACTTGGTTTTTAATCCTAATTTAATAACTCATTAATAATTCACGAGGAAAACACAAAGAAAAATAATAAGCGTGTCGTATCTTTATGTGATAGAGATTTCCCTTGATTTACATAAACTTTAAGTTTGATTTTCTCGACTTACACAACGTATTTATTTTGAAAATTACTTCGCCAATGAACTTACTAAATGCTTTTGAAGCAATTTAAAAAATTCGCAATCCGTGTTTTATCAGACCTAAAGATACTCGGCTTCGCCTCGTATCTTTATATCTGATAAGACACTGCTGCCCATGTTTTAAACAGTACTTCGTCAAGTTTTGTAAATAGAGTAATGTAAACTATTTAAATTTTGTTAGCAATTGTTGTAATTCACATGATAATTTAGTAATTAGCTTACTATTGAATGCAAAATATTTTAAAATACACGAATACACAAAAACTTCGGAATAATAAGGCCTGTTTACACTTGCAATTTCTGCTGCGATTTTAGGTGCGATTTCCTTCTTCTGATGGATGTGAACGAGTGGAAGAGTTATGAATGTTGAGATGAGGGTAGATATACTCAGAACATTCATTCTGATCTACTCGTTTACATGCATCAGAAGACGAAAGTCGCACCTAAAATCGCAGCAAAAATTGCAAGTGTAAACAGGCCTATAGAGATACAATTAACTACTTGTAATATGTATGCAGTAATATACAGAGACTATATTACTGCATACGCCTACCATTTTTACCCAGTGAACTATATACATGGAAGGCTTACGTAATCAAAAAGTGAAGCCAAAGATGGCGGATTTTGAAGCCATTCTTGCGCGTCATTCTCAGTCTCCTTACCCGCGCGGCCAAACATTTTTTGTATTTTCATGCCGGGAAGTGATGGGTCCGCGACTCTCGGGTTGTGTTTTTTTTTTCATTTTAAAAGAGCAAAAAAACGAAATAAACTTCATTTATTTCATGTAAACCTGATTTCCTTCATCTAATCGATCTGTCTACTGCATTTTCCCTCTCTATGTGTGAGTAAATCTGTATTTTTCGTTGCGAATTCAACAACTATTAAATTTCAAACTTTTTTTGTTTTTTTTTAATAAATCTGTATTTTTATAAATTGGTAATTTATTTTTGCTTTGGTTGTTTCTTCGCTTTCTTGTTTTTATGGTGCTTTTCAGTTTTCACACCATTATTTAGCTTATTTTAGTCCGTTCTCCAGACCTAAAACTGCTTTTTTAATAACTGCAGTTTTCGAGGCACATGAGTTACATGTATTTCATACATGTAAGAAAATTTTGTTTTTTTATTTTCTATTTAATAAAATCACTTTGATGATTGCTTTATAAACTTAAATTGTTTATTTTAATGAGTTATTTATGTGTGTGAAACCCTTGTCAATAGGGGCAATACAGATATTTTGAAAGATTGAGTGACATTTGTGTTTTGTTTTGTCACTCTTTGTCATTTACAAAAACAACAATCCCGCGCTATTTTGCTTTCTTTCCACTCAAATATCGCATCTTTTAAATAAATAATAATTAAAATTTAGACCCGAACCCAAAAACCCCCACCAGAATTCAACTTTTCATTCAAATTTCGTCTGTTTTTATCAGGTTTTTACTCGGAAAATAAAACTATAAAAGTTTAGTTGACCGCGCACGTAAGGGGACTGAGAATGACGCGCAAAAACGCATTCAATTTCCGCCATGTTTGGCTTCACTTTTTGAGCTTGAGTCAGCCTTCCATGTTATATAGTTCAGTGTTTTTACCTTTATCTTCCACAGCGAGACCATGTTGACTGTTTTTCGGAAAATTAGCGTTGCTTATAATGTTGCCTTTACCGTTCATACCAGCTCCAACACCATTCTTAAAATCTGAATTTGTAATTCTCAAAAATCCATTATTTTGCTTTGGAAATTGCTCGTATTCATTGTCCTCAGCAGTATTTGAAGACAAGCCATAACTCTGAGCCGGTGCAGAAGGGGTGTTATAGTTTTCTGAATGCAAACCATAGCTTTTGGTCGATGAGGTACCACTATTATAGTTAGCTGAAGGTAAACTGCTGTCTAAATCACTTGGGAATCTGGTGTAATCTGATGCATTACTGTAATCTGCTGGCAAAGAAAGTAAAAAATACAATGAAAATTTAGTCAATATACAGTATACTTATAATGAATTGCATATGCATTACTATTATTGACAGGGAATTAGCATATTAATACTAAAATATCAGTCAAAACAATGGGCGACTGGTTGGCATGGAGAACGATGGGATTTTCGAAACAATGAAGAGACAATGGCACACTCTGATCAATGGTTTGTGATAGGAAAACATTCAGTGTCATGTTAAGAGGAGATTTTTTTGTATGTTACGTAACGTAACACGCGCTCAAAACTAATGAACATAGTTTTCCACTTGGTTATGACTATATTCAATTTTCTAATTCGTTTTTCAAGCGGCAAACAAACTTAAAAAGTATGTTTAGTGCTTTATCTGTAAAGTAATGCTAAAATGAAGAGATTTTAGATGGTACGCAAAAGAGAACATGATGTATGAAGTTCAGCAAGTTTTGCTTATATTGCTGTATAAATATGGCGTCAATTTTACAGCATCAAAGACAATTGTATTTTTAATTGAATTTTTTTACTATTATTTTACGTTTCTGAACGGTTTATGTTTATAAACTAGAGAATAAAGTTAAAACAAAGTAATTTTGAGAACACTTTTTTATCGCAAATGCACGACATTGAAAAAAATTGCCTCTTATAAGTATTAGAGACCTATTAATTATCATGCAGATATTATGGAGCTTAAAGGTGATCTACAGTCCGATCTGCGCATGTGCACAAATGAGCCCACTTTTTATGATACAAACAGTTTAACTACGTTTTGAGTTCTTGAAAAGCCTGATTGTTGTTTCTTGATCATTTATTATACTCTAGAAGTTTGAAAATATAAATAGTTGTTGAATAAAGCTCAATATTTTGGACACAAAAATGTAAACAAAAGCTTTGTTTACATACGGACTGTAGATCACCTTTAAGCATTAAGTGACGATTTTGTCAACAGATTGCCGAGGGGAACAGATTGCCGTTTTGAACAATTGCAAACGTCGCTTGCTTAAAGTGGCTCCCTACAGTTGTAAAGAACCGCAGCGAAGAACTGAAGGCTTTCACATTGACGCAAAATATTTTCTATTTATGTGAAATGGAGATGATTTTTTTGAAGTCGAAACGCTTGGGTAATCTTGAACCCTCAAGCAAAATCGTTCGAAAGAAGCAAATTGTGTGTTGCTATGGTAACAGTGTGGCCTAAAAGTGAATTTAAAAAACTCATTAATAATTCAGGAGGAAAACACAAAGAAAAATCATAAGCGTATCGTATCTTTATATGTGATAAAAAATCATGTTAATTTACATAAACTTTAGCTTTGATTTTCTCGGTTTAGACAAAGTTTATTTAAAAAAATACTTCGCCAATGAACTCAGATAAGATGAGTCGTTTTTACTTGTAGTCGTGTTTTATCAGATATAAAACACTCCTACGCGTGCTTTAAATAGCACTTAATGAAATTTCCTTCTGTCAAAGTTTCTGAAATTTTGTAGCTGTAAAGGGGATATCAAGTGGAAGATTATAATAAAAAATTAGGTGGTTTATAAATTCAGTTTTGAGAGATATTACGCGAAATTTGTTCCACAAAATTAAACTGTCTATGAGAAAATTTTTAAAAATTGAGTATGTTGCAGTACTTTTAAAATACAAAATTTTAGAAAAATTGACTTAATAAGTTATTGCATTACAAAGCCTGCACGTTCAAATGAAATTTTGCTGACGTAATAAAATTTCACCTCGACAAGATCGAGTCATTTCGTTACCAGTCCCACGCTTAAACAACAGTAGGGAGCCACCTTAAGCTAACTAATTAGTTCGCTGTTTCCCAGGGGGACCCTATGACGTTATATCAGTTATAATTGCGAAATAGTAGAAGCGTTGTTTTACGATATTTTGCACTATATTGTGTGTTGTCCGGCATGAACGCAGCTAGGATTTGTATTCTCAGTTAAGCCTGGTTCACATATATGCCTGCGATGTACCGGCGACGATGCCAATGGTAGCTTTAAAACGTAAATTATGTGAACATTATTTGTTCGCCGATTGCCTCCAGTGCCACAGTTACATCGGCGGTAGGCCGGGAAAGTTGACTTGAGTTCAACTTTGCCGGTATTTCGGCGGCAAGTAGAGGCATAATGATACAGTCGCAGGCATATGTGAACCAGGCTTTAAGCAATCTTGTATCAGGAAATTTTAAGGGCCTTCGTTGCTTTGGGGGCCCCTTTGGAGCTGGGGCACCGGGACAAAAACCCCCTGCCCTCTCGGCGGCCGTGGCTGTCAGTAAACAAACTGTTATATTAAGATTTAATTTCTCGACGACGGTAGCGACAGGCTAAAAACGTGTCGTGCCGATTAGTTTTTATAGGTAAACTACGTCAAGCGTTCCTCTTTTGAGTTTCTAAATTGATTGCAACTTTCCTCATTACCTTTGCAATTTAAAAAACTAGAGGCAAATCCCTTGAGGGAATTTTCAATGTTGCTAAGAGCCAATTAAATTTTCCTCAGTTCCGGTTAAAAGTTCTTAACTTCCTGTTCTGTTCTGTTCTGTGCGTTGTGATTGGCTAACAATTAAACATAATCCACTAATGACGACGGTCAGAACAGAACAGGAAGTCAGGAAATTAAAACAGGAAGTTAGGAAAATTTAAAATGAAGTTTTTTTGCATTGGAATTTTGCAACAACCAATAGGAACATTGCAAATTCCCTCAGGAGTTTGCAAAGAGTTTTTCAAATTTGCAAAGCTAATAAGGAAAATTCCAAATGAGTTAGGAAGTCAAAAGAGGAACGCTTCACGTAGTTTACATGTAATGGAAACAGAAAAACGACAGCGTGGAAACACTTTTTTTTAAAACGACCTCCAGCTGCTTGTACGATCCCTGGGTACGAAATTAACTTGCGACATTTACAACCATATGGAAACCAGGCTTAGAAAATGAACAAATAATCACCTGGGGCCGGTTGTACGAAGTCCGAGTACGCTATCCACCGGATATATCTTTGTAAAATTATCTGTTAATTTCTATAACCCGATTAAAATTTAATATTTATCAATTAAAGTGTCTTTCTAAAAATGTGGCAATGGATACACAAAGCGGAAATCTTAATTTAAAGATAAGGGACGAACTATTAGAAAGTGATGGGGAAGGGAGGGGGACCTTTTCAACTTGTACGAATATCTTTTTAAAATTTTGTGCTTGTGTCGATAATTTTTTAAAATATAATCTCTTGTACGAATTTTTTTATTTCAACTTATAATTTTCCCCATGAAAAGTCTCTGCACGAACTTTTTTTTTTATGAAAGTAAATAATTTAATAACTAACGTTTCGTTGTGTACAATACAACATATCTTCAGAGCAAATTCATTTAGATTCATTTGTGGTAAATTCATTTAGATTGCTCTGAACATGCTGTATTGTAAACAACGAAACGTAAGCTATTAAATTTTTTATTTTTATTCCGTTTGGTTTCAATGTTATTTGCTGGGCTCTGCTTTTTATCCTTAAATTAAAGTTTCTTTTTATTATGTGTGAGATTTATATCCGCATTTTTGTAGCTTCTTCAGCATATTTACAACGGTTAAATCTGGTGGGTAGCGCTATCGGGACTTCGTATAACCGACCCTTGGAGAAATTCCAGTATTTTCACCTGATATAGGAGCATTACTGCTCATTAAATTCCTCTTTTCGCCAAGACTGGTCTTGCTGTAACCATGCCTGTCGGATATTTTCTCTCTTCTCTTTTGAAATTTTGTAGTTTGAAGTTTTTTTCTCGTTTGTTTATGTATCCTGCTACCATCATTATCATGATCGATATTATCGATCAACATTGATTCATCATTATCATCACCATTATCACTATTATCGACTGACATCGATTCATCATTATCATCACCATGATCAATATTATCAACTAATGTCGACTCATCATTATCACTATTATCAATGCCTATATCTTCGATATCGCTTTTTTGGTCAATATTACTTGGTTTTCGGTCTATAAACAAAATGAAAACTCTGTTACAATTAGCATTATAAATCATCTGGTCGTCGAAAGTTTTGACCAGCGATAACTGATGAGTCAATAACTGATAATCGTACAATATAGTAACTCTGAACACGGTAAACATATAACTAGATTTTAGTCATCATAAGGAATAATGAAATTACTACATATCATATATAGGTATCTATACAAGTGAATAAACATGAGAAATACTACGGTATATGAGTATATCCCCTGCACGCCAATGCATTTTAAATTTAAATAGTGTTGTGGTCCTTCAAATGTTGTCGTCGCTCGCCTCCCACCATCAAACTGACGTTACGTCACGATTTGATCAATTTCTAAAGTTGATTTTCTTTAATTCTAGTAGAATAGTCATGTTTATGTGCGACTGGGACAAGGTGGTGACAGGGATGGTTTGTGTCACGAACAATTGCCTCCATTTCTGGAAGAGCCTCGCTAAGCGAAGGAACTTCTTTGGATACGTTCAAGCCTTGAAGGTCATTCAGTAAGTAGAGCTAGAGGTATGGCACCCAAACTGGTGCAGTATATTCAAGTAAGGGTCGAATTTTGGTTGTAAGTAAGTTGCACGATCGATTTGCGTAAGAAGGTGGGCGTTTCTACACTGCCTTAGATGGTATAATCTCCTATTTCTTTTACAGGTAATTTCTTTAATGTGAGAATTCCATTTCATGTTACTTTGACAGCCAACACCAAGTAACTTGAATGTATCTACTCTTTCGATCATATTTTCCGCAATGTAAAGATTGGGTGGCTGTGGGATAGACTCCCCAAAGCAAATCCACATATCTTTCGTTTTCGTCGCGTTCAAATCCACATATCTTTCGTTTTCTTCGCGTTCAAATCCACTTATCTTTCGTTTTTTTCGCGTTCAAATCCACATACAGTATCTTTCGTTTTCTTTGCTAGTATCTGACCAGTTCTGAACAGAGTCTACGACTTCCTGCATGTTGCTACGCTCTCCTTTCATGATGCATTCACTTTGTTTACCGTCATATCAGCATATTTGTGTGTGCTGACCTTAAGTTCTCCAGGAACACAAGCATCTAAGTCGTCAATGTGGACATCACATAAGTTCGGCGAAAGCACAGATCCTTGTGGTACTCCAGCTGGACAACTCTCAATCGATGATAATGCTTGATTTAACTTGACCTGCCGAGTTCTACCAGACAAGAACCTTTTAACCCACATCCAGAAACTAGTTTATTGACATTCATCAGTGCAAATTTGTTCAGCAAGATCCCATGATCAACAAAATCAAAGGCTTTTTTAAAGTCGATGAAGTCTTGCATGTAACTAACGAGAATTTACTGGCAGAATGGACCAATCCCATATTAATCAAAATTTTGAACACAACAAGTCTAGACAAAAATTTCATCACAGCTTGAAAGAGCATCACAAAATTAGTAATATTCAAAAGTTTCATTGCGAAATGTTGTAAAATGCGGATAATATAGCCTTGCGAAATTTGCAATTTCAGTCATTACTCGCTGGGGCACTCTGTGCCCTAGCCTGCGTGCAGGCCCAAGGGAACTTGATAGTGGGCCTGCAACCATCGCCCGGTATTTTGAAATACGCCCCTTTTCATAACACGCCCCATTCGCGCGTCAATTGTCAAAAAAGAACCAATGACAGCATTAACAAACAAACTCGCATTAAAATGTTGCGGGGTTTTCTCTGCTTTAATATTCAGAACACTAATAAACAATGTGTAAATGGCTGCGTTTTAACTCCAAAAAAGCAAGCAACGCAGTCAGTAATTGCCAAATTTTCAAGTGCTCATTTTCAACTAAAATCGGAACAGGCAAATTAGGACGAATTTCAACAGAAAACCAGTCTCAAACTTCAAATCATGAGGGAAGTCGGGCGACCACATTAGGATTTATATTATGTGTGCTTCGCTGTCGCCATTGGCATTGTTATAAATAAATTGTCTCACTTATCAGATCGTGTGTGCAATTCTTGTTGGCGGCGGAAAGTACGAAATTTATTTCATTTGGTAAAGAACTCTACAAAAAAAGAGAGCGTTCCGAGTCCAGATCGTTTCGTTTCAAACGGCAATTTAATACCGCCTTCTGTTTCGCTCTCTGCGAAGCCTTGTAAATCGCAAAGTGTTTCGAATAGGCTTACAGTTCTTACATGCAACTGCATCTCAACATCAACCAAAAGATAATTTTCTTGAGGAAGTGAGAACACATAACGTATCAACTGAAGTCTGTTTGAAATTAATGAAACTCAAGTAAAGGTTTACTATAGTTTACCCCAGTCGTAATGTTGCTATTCCAACACCTCACGACAAGCAATCCCCATTGGCATAACGGCAAAAACATGTCTTCCTTCAAGTAAACAATAAACAGTCTGTTCTTGTTCCATTTGTAATCGAAAAAAGTGATCAATTTTCAAATTTTAAGCTTATCGAGAGCCTTTGTCTATGCCTTTGTGATGAATCACTGTTCCCTTGTGCCTGCACAATGGGCTAGGTTAATTAATTACCGATCGCCTCAGCTAGCCAATGGGAATTTAGCCGGCGGTTCGGCCGGCAAAAATCGAAAACATGGGGTGATGGTTGCAGGCCCACTATCAAGTTCCCTTGGGCCTGCACGCAGGCTATCTGTGCCCCGGGCGAGTATAGGTTTCGGCTTCAATCTCCGATAGCCACAAAATAGAATATTAATGAGCTGCTTGATCCATCAAAATGGCGGGGACTTTCGTGGAGTGGGCAAAATGTTTTCAACAATTTCGTGAAAATTTTGAACCAATTGTACCTGTTTTCTATGGATTTTGGATTGTGTGTAACTGTGGACATTCCTGCTAGTTTATTTAATGCGTTCTACTTGGTGCACGGCTCTGAAAATCCGAAATTTGGATCGTGGAATTCCCGTGCACGATCGTAATATACTGAATCTGAATATAAACGAGCCAAAGACAATTTCAAGATAAAAGGTTATAACTTAAACTGCACAACGTAGTTTTAATAAATAACTACTTTATGAGAAGCATATTGGTGTCATATCGATATGAATTTTATCGAACAACAGTCCGTGAAAACTGCAGTGTACTCAGTGTGAAATATGATATTGTATTTGTATAAATGCCTATTACAGTAATGGCGCAATAGCCAATAAGGATAAAAATACCACCGTTCGATTCAGCATAACAAATTGCACTTACGGATGCCAAATGCATCACTAAACAACAGTATTCTAACGATTTATGGACTTTGAAAATCAAGCGACATTTTTATTGTTGACAAATTACTCGCCGTTAATTGTCCGACCTTGTATTTGACCTTGTATTTGTAATGCATAAATAGTAATAAGTAATGGCGGATAAAAATATAAGAAATTGCACAGGGGGCAGAAAAGTACGATTGTGTTTTATAAATACCTTGTCATCAACCAATATCCCATATTTATATTACAACAATCCGCAGACATAGTCATAAAAGGATCAAAATTAGCTGATTTTTATTTTTTCGATAATATCATGCCTTCTACTTCATGTAATTCAAACATATTGCATTGCAACGACAATTTCCGAACATCTTACGAAAGGATGCCGAGGGTGTAACCCGTACATAAATTATTTGTACGTGTAAGCAAAGTCAATCGGGTTAGCACTATTTTCCATCCAGCAAACTGACCTGACGTCATCTTCGGAAGATGGAAGAGGTGTTAAATGGCTATGTAACTAACCCAAACCCTACTCTTACTCTAACCCCTAACCCTAACCGCAACCCTAACTCTAACCCTAACCGGATTAATAAAAAATCCAAAAAGAAACGACTTTAGAAAATCGATAGGGCGGTTTGCTGGATGGAAAATAGTGCAAACCAGTCAATCGTTCTAGTATGAGCCCACGCTACTATGGTCAGTCCTTGTAATACAATGTTTGAATTACATGAAGTAGTAGGCATGATATTATCGAAAATCAACATAATTTTCATCGTGATGAAACCTGGATGAAACTATGCGATATATTGATTGATGACAAGGTATTTTAAATAAACACAATCGTACTTTTCTGCCCCCTGTGAAATTGTACTCAACGTAAGAAATTGTACTTATATGTGAATGAGAAATTGTACCTACGGGTTTCAACTGTATTACTAAACAACTGACAACAGTATTCTAGCGATTTATGGCGTTTGTCTTTGAAAGCCAAGCGAAATTGTATTATTTGTTGACAAACCGCTCAAATTATAAAAATTATATAAAATGCAATATGTTTGATCCTTGATAACTTTGGTATCGTTGGTTTTCCTTGTTCGGCGGTATACCAGTGGATTCGTCTAACTTCTCTCTTCATTTTGATAAATATTTCGAGCCCAAAAGCCCAAAAATATTTTAGTTTGGACGTTTTAAACTAGCGGCCAACAGAAGAATGTAGCGTTCTACAAAATACAACTTTTAATACTTGTGGGCCATAAACGCCGTAAGTTTTATTTGTACTTGTAGCACAGAAAAGCTTGTAGGGTACCGCATTTTAGTGTGTTAAGCTTTCGCACTCGTATTCGACGTTTCCGCTTAGCTCGGGGTCAGGCTTAGATCTTAATAGAACTTTCCCCTTTTCAGTGAAATTTTGATCTAGATTAGCCTGGACAAAAATTTCATCACAGCTTGGAAGAGCATTGCAGAATTAGTAATATTCCGAAGTTTCGTTGCAAAAAGTTGTAACAGTGCAGAAAATATAGCCTTGCGAAGCTTGCCGTTTTCAGTCATTTTACAAACGGAAAATTGATAATCAGATAATGAAACTGATGGTCAATTTCCCACTTGTAATACAAAATGACTGAAAAACGGCAAACTTTGCATTGCTATATTATCCGCATTTTAAATATGACTAATTTTGTCATGCTCTTTCAAGCTGCAGGCGCAGAATAACGTCACAGAATAAGAAGGTATAGCAGAAGCGTAACTCTAGTCGTTGCCCTTATTGTTATCTTTAGCCACTACTTTCCAATGAAGTCGAGTTTTAACGTTTAATTTTAATGCAAAATTTTAAACAATTTTACGGAGCGCCGACCGTGCGTGTGCACGCGCACGCACGATCACGAATGACTATTCTGTGCTGCAGGGCCGCCGAGAGCTTGGCGGGGGCCCGGGGCAAATTTTTCTTAGGGGACCGTATTCAAAAAAAAATTCCGGACGAGTACGTTGTAAACGCTTTTGTGGGAAATTACTGCAAATTTTTCATACCAAATTTCGGTTCTTTGCCCGAAAAAAACAGATATTGTGACCCAGAAACGGAAATATTTCGCGCAAAAAAATGACTGGTGCCCACCAAAAAAATTCTAGGGACCCCCAAAACCTCGTGGCCAGGGGCAATTTGCCCCCCCCCCCCCTCTCGGCGGCCCTGTCAAACTGTGATGAAATTTCTGGCATCATATAAAGTAATGTGCGTATTTGTACAGCCCCAGCGAGTTAACGCTCCATAGAGCGTCTTGTTTTGTATTACAAACGGCAAATGGTTACCTACAAAATTCACAAGGCTATATTATCCGCATTTTACAACATTTCGCAACGAAACTTTGGAATATTACTAATTTTGTGATGCTCTTTCAAGCAGTGATGAAAGTTTTGTTTAGGCTAGTTAAGATCAAAATTTTTGAAAAGTGGTAACAGTTTCCCTCTCGTAAAACAAAATGACTGAAAATTGCAAATTTCGCAAGGCTATATTATCCGCATTTTACAACATTTCGCAACGAAACTTTGGAATATTACTAATTTTGTGATATTACTAGTTTTGACGTTTCTGTATGTCGTTTCTGGATTTTGTATTTAAAAAGTATAATCGGAGCATTTCTCCTCGACAACCCTTCTCCCACAACATTGTGTGTGTGTCATAGTTGTTTTCTTAATTGTCCTAGAATATTTGCTTAACGAATTGGTGCATTAAAGCAAGTTTATACATGCCCATAGCATTATAAACTTAAGTTAATGAAACAAGCGTTAGGACAAGAGTAAAGTTGTGCAAAGTCTCCTGGAGTACAAAGGCATAGAATAAAGATCCATATAGAAGGGCCACTTACGTCGGAAGCTTTGAAGTTTCTGTCCTCGCGCATGTCGCATTACGCATGTTGGCCGCCATTTTCCTAGCCAGTCAATGACATTTTCTGGCCAATAAACACGCTGTACTGGCTGGCTGCTCCGCCTTCTGGCCAGTAAACTGCATATTTTTGCATAAAAAAACGAGGACACGTTGCACCCCTGAGTGGCCCTTCTATATGGATCTTTATTCTATGACAAAGGTCTGGTACAAAGGTCAATCTGTGAATCGTGTGATCATACACGTGCAAAGCGCAAGGCTGAATTAACAACAAACCATTGTCAAATCTCTTCCCATGCGTGCGGGAAAATAGACCAATCAGGTTTCACCTCTTCGTCTGCATAGTTTCCTGCTTGGATCAGTAAGCCTCATTGTGTCACTTGCAAGCAAAATTGTATGATCTCTGTGGCAAAGTACTTCAAAATTACCACCCATCCCACCCTTCAAGGATTTTGCACCACTATATCATAACTTGTATCACATAATAAATAAAAATCTGTAAATATTGTTTTGATATGCAATCCGTGATCAAGATTCACATGAAATGCAATTCATGTAGTGTTATAGATAAAGTATTATGGAGTAGTTCACTGGTTAACATGTTATTACAGGCACATCTATATTTTGTAATATACAGTATTGGAATTGACTTTGCAAGTCTGGTTGTAAAGAAAAAGATTTGGTTGTTTGGGGATGGAGTGCTCCCAAAGGTCACCCTCAATCCCATAGACTCACACAAATCAATGTATTATACAGTGTATTGTCAAGTAAACAATGACCATCACGGGGATCTACTACCCCTTGGACATTAAAGTAAACAATGACCATCACGGGGATCTACTACCCCTTGGACATTTAAGATGCCCATCTCGGGAATCTACTACCCCTTGGGTAAAGTCCAACATGGGGGAACCACAACCCCCTGAGGACATATAATTATATCATAATCATATTGCTGTAATAGTGAGTCTGTGGGGCGACACTTTGGCCACAGTTTAAAGTATAATCGGAGCATTTCTCCTCGACAACCCTTCTCCCACAACATTGTGTGTGTGTCATAGTTGTTTTCTTAATTGTCCTAGAATATTTGCTTAACGAATTGGTGCATTAACTCTATTACAGTTAAAAAATGTGAAATTTCAACTAAAATCCGAAGAAAATCGTGTCGGCAAGAGCGCACAAGATATTTTGCGCCGACATACAGAAATGTACATACTAGCCTTCCGGGCACAAGATGAAGAAAAAATGGAATTGCCCCTCGATATGGTGAGTTTTTTCCATTTATCTGCCTTTTTTGGGCTACCTTCCAGATTAGGCATAATTTGACTGATTTACCTGAAATAGGTAAACAAAGTTAACGCCTGAGTAGGCGTCTTGTTTCTTTAGAAACTTTAGTTCCGTGATCAAGGTTTGGTTTGAACAGTAATAAAGACCACTGGTCAGCTCTACCAATTATTGTACATATGTTTTCTTTAAAATTTGATTTTACAGATGTTTTCTTTCTCTGCATGAAAACGGCTCGAGTACACGGGCTCAGAATTAAACTAAATTCATGCTGTAACCCCAAATTGTTCCTTATTTTTATTTTACAGAGATTGAAAAGAAAATCAGATAATATTATGTTGTATTAGAGTCAAGAACTTGAGCTTCCAAAGAACTATCAATATTTAACTAATGATCTCATATAGTATTTCTCATATTTCTTCACCATTCCTGATGATGACAAAAATCTAGTCGAAACGTCGAATAAATACTTTTCATGCAACCTTAATTAAAACACTCAGTGGTTCCCGCAATAACTGTTAAGTCAGTGAACGAATCAGACATGTGTATAGAAAACCGATGAAGTTGCATCGCGCCCTATAGCGCTCAATGTCAATGGGTTAATCGGACTGCCCATGTGTCTAGTTATAACACACTAAGTTGCATTGCGCCTATAAATGCGCCCTACTTTATTATTTTACTCTGTCTAATGCCAGACGATTTCCTGAAATTTTCTATTCTGATCTTTAATATTCTGATCAAATATTTAAGAAGATATTCGCCCCGACGGGCTGAAAATCCCACCGCTGTTAACCGGACTGAAAAGCGTCAAGTAATCGACTGGAAATTTCAGTCCGGGGTTGAAAATCAAACGTTTAAGTAGCACGAATCATATAAAAGACAAACAACATTTTAAATTATTTCAAGAAGTGGGATAGCTCTATTTTGCGACTAGATCGTTTCAACCCTCGCTCAGATCTCATCTCGGTTTAATTTAAATTAAGCTGAAATTTGAACTCGTCCCGAAACTTGTCATGTGATCGTGCAACGGAATTTAAACTCGGCTAACCGGATGGAAATTCAGGCCGGGCTGAAAATTCTCCATGAAATCAGCGCCTTATATATATATAGGCGCGATCTTATACTGTATCGCAGATATTTACCTGAACAGCAGACAGGTTGAAAATTGTAAAACGCGACCAGGAAAACAGCCACACATATCAATTTAGTCATCTTGTTTAGTCTTGATAGTAACGGAGACATAAACAAACAGGTAGCAAAACTTTAACTCTATATAGCCATCATAAAACCAGAACTCGTGTCGAATATCTTTACATCCATATATAGCTTTAAATAGCTTACGCCAAAATATATACTACATCATTACATGATATATACTAAAGAATTTTTTACTTCAAAAAACTCAGTTTAAAATTTTGTAATAGTTTCCACCTGCTTGCAGACAAAAGTCTCGTTGTAGCGTACAATACACAACCTGTAGTGGAATTCAACATACCTGTGCATTAAATACTATTTTGTAATTAAAATTTGGAAGATGGCTAATTACTCTATACTGGTATATTGATTGAATATAATTGGAATCGGAGGTTATTGCGTTATCGGTGGACAATCCGGGTATCGGTAAAAATTCGGCAATTGCTAGATAGTATACTTCAAAATAAGGTTTCCGTTTTTATATCAATTTTTAAAATAATTAAAATAAGTTAGGGTTAGGTTAGGGTTTAGGTTAGGTTGGGGTTAGGGTGAGTATTAGGGTTAGGGTTTAGTTTTGCGTTAGGATAGTTTTTTCTACGTTATAAAAACGGAAACCTTATTTTGAAGTATACTATCTAGCGTCACCGTAAAAATTCCTGTATTTCTCAATTGTATATGATTACCGATCATTTTGGATGTACATTTTCTTTAAAGCACTTAATGGACAACTTGCATGTTAGACTAAATTTTAATCCGCTAAGTAAAGAGAAGAAAATCAAACACCACAGCTAAAAAGAACATAATGAAATTGGTAAAATTGCAAAATTTGGTTGCGAAATGTTGTAAAGCTTGGAAAATATAGTCTTGCAAAGTTTGCAAATATTGTACGTTTGTATTATGCGGAAATTGTTAGCATTTTCAGCTCAAAAATTGAAACAATTTCCGCACGTAATACAAACATATACAAAATATGCAAACTTCGCAAGGCTATATTTTCCGTATTTTACCACATTTCATAACCAAATTTTGCAGTTTTACTAATTTTAATAACTACAACTGTTCACAACTACAACTACTACAACTGTTCACATAACACTTCAACTCAATCTTCTTCTACATGTCGGGTCTTTCCCTTTCTACCTTAATCATTTTAATATATTAAACATTGTTGTAAATATAGCTAAATATTCCATTTTCAGTTATTACTATTTTCTTTATCATGTTTCGCTTCGCTTGGATAATCCTTCTTTCCGCCCACATGACAGATGCTCTCTCTCTGCGTTGTATATATATATGTGTTGTAAAGTATTGTATTTCTTTCTGTCTGAAGATGACTTTGAAATAAAGTCGAAAATTTACAGTCTCAAACTGCGTCTTTGTTTTGGGCCATTCCATTTAATATACACCCCCCCCCCCTGTGGACGAAAATTTCAGAGGGGGGTTGAAAAAGCCGTTTCTGAGGGGCTGTGTGCATCGGCATCCTTTGATCTTTGCGTTTTTTCCGAGGGGTAAGGCAAAAATTTCTTAATTTCTGAAGGGGTGTTTGTGTCGGCACTTTGATCTTTTTTTCTTAGGGGTTCAAATTTTATTGACTTCGTCCACAGGGGGGTGTGTTCATTAAATGGAATGGCCCTTTTGAATTATATATTGAATTCTCAAGATGTCCTGTATTTTCGGAATTTGTTTTTTACTTTATTTTTTTAAATTGTCGGCTGGTCATGGCTTTTTTTTAATAAGTTTTTTTGGGGAATTTACTTTTATTTGCCTAGATAAAAAATTAACCTGACATGCAATTTGTCATTTGCGATGCTAAAGCTAGCCCGCGTGCTGGCCCATCGAGGGTATATTCTTCTCTCGATGGGCCTGCACGCGGGCTATGCTATAAAGCCGGTTACAGATGAGTAGGTTTTCTATACTCTATAGTTTATTCGTCAATCGCACGTGTTTACCTACAATAAATTTTCTATGACAAAGTTTTAGCTTTCTGACAGTCACGATAACTAAATATTACTATACTAGCTACTAGAAGTTACTAACTTAGGCCCCGTTTACATGAGATCGCGACGAAGTCGAACCAGAATGAAAATTGAAATTGTCAACATGTTCACTTGAGACCGGTACGAAAATCACGAAATTTTCAATTTATTCCCCTTGCCAGACAATTAATTTCTTTTTCAGATGGCTTTTGTTATCTATGTGTTGTTCCAATGTCAAGGTTACAGCCGAGACCGGTCTGAAATGTACTTGCGTTCACATTCATCCCGGTCTAAGGCCCCAGTTATACACCATACCGGATTCGTATCGGAGCGACATCGATTTAAGGTGTTTTCCAGTCATGCCTGCTCTTACAACTTTTTATATTTGAAGCTTTTGTTTAATTATGTTATATTATCATAATTTTAAGTGCCCAAATTCAACTCGAAGCAGTAAAATTTGATGTCGCTCCGATGCGAATCCGGTATCGTGTAACTGGGGCCTAAGTCAGTCGGCTAGGTCCAGCAGGCGGAATGACTTGAGACCGGTCAGAGTTATTTTCGTCCTGGTCTCATGTTTACATCTATTATAAATAATACTATGACCAAAACGAAATGGTCCCGATTTCACTTCGTTCCGGTTTCATGTAAACGGGGCCTTAAGCCAGTTTTCCACTTCAATCGTATCGTACCGAAACGTAGCGTGTTTCTTTGTTTCTTGACCACTAGAGTGGAACTAATGACTTCGACACAAAAGAAAATGCTACGGTACGTTACGATATAGTTGAAGTGGAAAACCGGCTGTACTTTATTTATTTAACTTCGCCATTATCATGCATGCATTCATGGCAGGGTCACCACAACAGTATATGTTACAAATTACTGTGGGCCCTTTAAATTTTAAATAGATAATAAAACACAAATAAAATACAACGAAAGTGATCAAAGTCATCACACGAATTGGAACTTGAAGCCAAGCAAACAAATTCCTCGAAGTTTTCGTTGTATTGTATTTCACAAACATACTTAATTAGCTGCTTGCAAATTTTATAAAACATATAACAATTCATAGAATATAAAATAGCTAT